TGTACGGATTCTTAATGCATTTATTGCAACTACATTTCATCTTTTTCTCATCAAACAAACAGACTAATGAATAGCTCGACACAACTCGTAATGGGGCAGACTCTAGACAGGGCTTTCTTCTGCGTAGATATAAATTCTATTCTTTGCATCAGCTGGGCATGGCAGGGTATGATATGATGGCTGTTATAGCCTACCCTGCTTACCCAGTAAGACTGTTTGTTTAATAAAGTAATTCATTCATTCATTTCAAAAATAAATATTTTAAACACTAAGGCAAAAAGGAAAGAATAATAAATTGGCTTGGGTATATATAGGCCTATAATCTTCATGCAAGAACTGTCGTTTTGAATGACAACCGGAGAACAACCGATATTAAATAGCCTACTGCTGGAGTTTAATAATGTAGTCTTGTGTTTTATTCAAATTGATTATAATTGTAGACTTGTGTTTTATTAAAATTGATTATAATTGATATCGCAAAAGGATATGCACTTGTGCGCGACGTGAGCTGCTGCGCACTCGCACAGGACTGCAACGCAAGATTTTCATAAAAGTTTCTCACCAAACCCACAGCATACCTTCAGAATGCTTGGAATATACGCCATGAGATGCATAGGATTATTTTAAGACAAATATGCATCCGCCAAAAAAAATGTAATTGGCAAGTGCGAGCAGGACATTTTTGTGTTATTAAGTAATAAGCCTTTAGAACAACATTAAGGTGAGTAGTCACTCTAGTTCACACAGTTCCAATAAATTGCGAAGGGTTAAATAAACTCAATAAGCAGACAGACGCGACTAAAGTCAAGCACAGACCAGTATTGAAGTGCACAGGAAATAAGCAGCAGTCATATTTAAAGCAGTTTGAATATGCATTTTAAATTAATATTAAGTACTGATTGATGTTAACTTCGATTTTTTCCCCATCGAGGGGAAATAACTTTAACTCTGTCATTTATAGTCGTATGGTAAAATTTATATTTTTATTTGTGTAACGTTACTGTAGGAGGCCAACCAGTTGGAGAGGAAAAGGAAATGACGTCCTGTACAAAATGTTGGTGCAATAATCAAAAATTGGTGGTTTGTTGGAAGTTGAAAAAAAATATTTACAGTGCAAGAGAAAACAAAAATAAATAAAAACTGTACAAAAAGAAAACAAAACAGCAACAATGTGCTTAATTTGGCTAAACCAAATGGCCCAAGTATGCAACACTGCTCAATCCACAATCAGTACCAAAGACAAAAACAAAGACTGACTCCCTCTCAGCCAGCAAGCCGATTTATAGGCTGATGCCCCTCCTACAGGGCATACCAACTGGGGAGAAAACAAACAAAAAAGGTTTGTAACAAGCAAATTCAATAATATAAACATCCAACACAACCAGACTTAAACCTTCCAAACAAGTAAAACAACAACCATTAACAGAAGGAAGTTTAACAACAAATTAAATGGAAAACTAACTGTTCCTAATTTCTCCCCCCTCTGACATCACAACAAAATGGCAGCTTCCACAGGAAGTGATGTGGCGGTTGTTTTAAAAACCAGTTGGACCTAGATTAAGGGTTCGATTGTACAGAGTGTGAACCGGCAATGCTCAGTACAAGTGAAATGGGTGTGTTTGTAAGTCCAAGTTTATAGAGTCAACAGGTATGTTCAAAATAACTACAAAATGCTATGCCTTTGAAAAATAAAGAGAACAACAGAATGCGCTGCTTTAGCGCGTCTCGGTCTCCTTGAGCATCTTTCTTTTCTTACAAACACGAACCACAGCGAATACTTGTCTTTTAAAAGGCTTCATTTAGATTATTTGAGGTTAAATGCATCAAAAGGCTTCAATTAGATTATTTGACGTTAAATGCATCATATAAGTCACTTTGGAATAAATCACAGTAGGCCTATTTATCATGATAAAAAAGCAACTTTACAGTCTGGAAATACGGTAGGCTTTAGCAAATTATTTCTTGGACCCCCTATCACTTTAA